GCAGTGCTCGTCGTACTCGTCGTATTCGGCGGCAGCCAGCCGCTCTGCCAGGGCCGCCTGTCGCGCGGGGTGCGCGCCGCCTTCAACGTCGCGCAAAGCGTCGATGCCATGATGTTCCGCCGCGGCTCGACTTGTCCATCGCCAAGTGACGGACTCGTTGCCCCCCCCCCGTAGAATTCAGCGCTGGCTCCGCCGAGCACGTCTGGCTGCACGGCGAACGGACGAAGGGTAGGCACATCCATTTTGTAAGATCCAGCGCTAATGGAGTTCCTGGGCGAGCGCCCCGACAAGTCGGCATCGTCGCCTCTTCTCGACGGCCGGTGTCCTGCGAAGCCCGTGCACTATGTGACCGCCTGCTCGTCCGCTTGGGACACCAAGCCCTAAATGAGGTCAGGTCCTTGTGACCAAGGAGGTCAGTGTTTGCGGGCTCAGGGGAAAGCGGAATCCGAAGCGTGCCGATGGAACGGACCTGTGTAGTCAGTAGAACATCCCGATACCGCTGCGGCGTGAAAACCTGCGAGGGCGGCGCTTTCGTTGGCGCGGCCATAATCCATAGGTGTGGTGTCCGTGGGGGCGACATGATGTCGTGAGGGAGGGTCCGGGTCAGGACCCGCGACGCCTGCCTCGTGAAGTCGCCGAACCTACGCTGGCGACGGGCAATCGTTTGCCGCCGTGCCCCTGGGCAACTGGAAAGAAACACGTGGCGGAAACCCGACCGCAGAAAGGTTTGCATTTTACCTCGCCAGGCTTTGTTTCCTGGCATCGCCGTCTCCTCGTTGGCGCGGCAACTCGCTATACCTGGCGAGGAACGTCTCATGCCACCAGTTTGACAGCAGTCGCTGGTATGCATGAAGTGCGCTGCGTGCCAAGCCCGCCCCATGCCCGAGGCCGTATCCACGCCAACCGTCTCGCACGGAGGGGGCAACGCGGACATGTCACATATCGGCGATAAGACGTGCACCGTGCTTCCGACGGAGAATGAGAGTACGCTCGCGCCTGTGTGCGAAGCCAAACAGTTTAAGCTGGTATTGATGGGGGTAGCTACAGTTGGATTGCGGCCGCGCTGAGGGACAACCCCTGCGCACCCCTTATGGATTCGAGAAACTGCCACGCCCATGCATCCAGGCGACCGTCACGGATAACGGCCGCCGTGAGGGACCAACCCGTCCGCACCCCCAGCGGAGTCGAACACATGCGGCGCCAGCTATGCCCAGACGGCCGTCACGGAAAGCGGCCGCGGTGAGGGAGCACCCCATCCGAACATTCCCCATGGAAGCGAGAAAATGCCACGTTTGCCACGATCAGGCGACCGTTGCGGATAGCGGCCGCGGTGAGGGAACACCCTTTCCGCACCCCATTACGGAGTCCAGAACATGCCACGCTTGCTTAAGACAAGCGACCGTGTATCGGCAGTGGTGAGAGATCGCCCCATCCGCACCGTATATTGAGTCGAGAAAGTGCCACGCTTACCACGTCCTGTGTGTCGTGTATAGACACCGCGGTGAAGGGTCCCCCTTTTGCACCCAGTGCGGAGTTGATCGAGTGCCACGCCTGCCAGGTCCTGCGAGCGCGTCGTGCAGTGAGGCCGCGCGCGCCCTTGTGGAGTCGAGAGCGTGCAACGCCTGCCGCGTGAGTTGTGTGTCTGCGTGTGTGGTGGGTGGTGCGTGGTGAGTGGTGTGTGGTATGTGGTGTGTGTATGTGTTTGGTGTGTGTGTGTGCGTGTGTTTGGTCAGCCGGCATGTTTGTTGGTGTATGTTGCGCACGCCACTGCAGGTGTGACAGGGAAGGGGAGAGGGGGAGGTGTGGGCGTCGCGGGTGGGAAGCGGTTGATAAGAAAACCGTATGCCCGCGAAACATGCGACGAATTATCCATCCAACAAACAGCCAAATCGCCCGTCTTTGTCTACTGGGAGTCGGCCCCGACCTTCCGCAGAGGTTTCGCGTCGCTGCCCCAGCAGCTGCTCGCGTGACGGGTGGTTTCATGTATAGCCGACCGGCCCTCTTTTTGATTTTCTTGGCCATTTGTGTGGTCTTTCTTGCGATCTTCGGAGGGTCCCAGATTTCCATGTTGTTCCGTGGATTTCGTACAGATGTCGTCGAACTTGGTCGACATTTGGACGAGATCTTGACGAAACGGAGAAGACGGGCGGTCGAAATCTAAACGAACTCTAATCGAAACTGCGCGTATGATAGGGCCGCGGAGGTTCACAGAGGCTCCCACGAAGACACCCTGGGCCACACCGTTTCTCATCCTAGAGCCGCCGTTTCTGTGTCTCGGTTTTGTTTTTCTTCGACGCGACCTTCGACCTTCTTCGTCCCTCCTCGGTTCGCTTCGTCATGCTCGATCCTCCTCAGTCCACTTCGGTTCGACTTTCCCTCGGTCCCCTTCTCGGCCCTCCTCGATCCACCCCGTCCTGCCCTGTAGTCCTATTCGAACCATGTCGACGCTCTTCGGTCTTTTCTCGACTTCTCTCTGACCCCGGATGGGCGTGCCCATACATCGTTTTCGGGGGCGGAATAGAGGGGGGTGATGACTAGGGGGGGGGGATATCATGGCGTGGGCCATGATATCTCCCCAGATTTCGCGGCGCCTCTTCTTATTTTATTACGTCCTTGGCCCCCCCGCTGGGTCGCGCACGTGCCGCCGGTCATGATTTGCACCCCCTCCTCTTGGACACCCCCCTCTTGGCCGCTCCCGACGTTTGTTCCCCACCACCCCTCCTGTCACGACGTACGCCGAGAGTGTGCTCGAAGGCACTGTCCGGCGTGCGGCGCGCACCCTCGTGCGTCAGACACCACGCGCAGCTGTGCTGCGGGGAAACGCGCCAAATTGCATCCTTTGCCCTCCTCCCACTCCTCCCCTCCCCTCCTCCTCCTCCTCCTCCTCCTCCTCCTCCTCCCCCTCCTCCTCCTCCTCCTCCTCCTCCTCCTCCTCCTCCTCCTCCTCCTCCTCCTCCTCCTCCCTGTGAGGGCCATCGAGCGGCACGGCGCGATCCTCCTGCCTGGGAGGAGGACCTCCGCCGCGATCCTCCTCCCATCCCCTGCCAGCGTTCTCGCCCCACGCCCGTCCTTACCCCGTCGTTGTTGTTGTTGTGGTTGAATTCGCACTACTGCAGAATAATCAATGTTGATCCCCCCTCTCTGGTGACCATTGGGTTTTTTTCAGTTGAAGTGCCCCCCCTGGGGCTCACACCCTGTTTTCTATCAGAGTAAGTCACGGGGCTCAAGCTGGGTCCTTGGCCCCCGGTTCACAGCATCAACAACGCATCCCGCCTGATTTTTCTTCACAAGTTAATCCCACATCGCGCTCTCGCGCGGGGCTTCCTCGCATTTCATGTACGCATCGTGCTCTCGCGTGGGACTTCCTCGAAATTTTATCAAGGGATACGCTTTCGGTGCTCAGGAATCACGCTCTCGCTTTGGCTTTTCTCACGATTCACTTGGGAATCGCGCTATCGCTCGAGACTTCTTCGCGATTCATGCAGGACCCACGCTTGAGCAACCCGCATGCTCGACCTGGTCGCCTGGGCCCGCCTTGCCGACCTGCCCGCTACGGGTCTACCCACCCGATCTGCCCGTCTGGTTCTACCATTTGTTTTCTGCTCCTTGCCCCCCTCCTGCTAATTTCTCTCGTGCTCCATTATTATCCTTCTCCCTTCCACCCGTCCTTTCTTCCCTTGTTTTAGGGGCTGCACTGAATGCACGTGGCAGGTAAGGAAGATATATCCCCAACGGGGTACGATCGAAGACGACGAGGGCGGGTACTGAGGACTTGGGATATTCTTATTGATGGACACGTGGGCAGATAGGAGCGATCAGTCTTAAACTGATTTGTTTTTTTGTTCTTGTTGGATACTCGTTTCTAAAGAATACGTATTGCTGATCTCTGGGAAAGGTTCCGCGCGCTCTCGCCTCGACGCCGGTCACATTTTCTCTCAAAACGAGGCTCCCGTGGGAGCGGTGGTTTTGAGTCTGAATGTGGGCCCTTGGAGGCCCAGCTACGACGACAATGGCTCCCGCTCGATATTTCCTTACAATTTACCCGAGACACCCTGGCCAGAGATGCCTCCAAACTCAGAAACGGCGTTCTCGCTCGAGACGTCCTCGCAATTCAGTCAAGTTGGCGGAGACCCAGCCACGACCACAAGGGCTCCTGGTCGATACTGCCTCACGGTTTACTCCGAGAGCCCCTGGCCAGGAAGGCTCCTGAACTCAGGAACGGCGCTCTCGCTCGAGACTTTTCCGCAATTCAGACAAGTTGGCGGAGGCCCAGCCACGACGACAAGGGCTCCTGCTCGATACTTCCTCACGGTTTACTCCCAGAGCCCCTGGCCAGGAAGGCCCCCGAACTCAGGAACGGCGCTCTCGCTCGAGACTTCCTGTAAGGCAGGCAAGTTGGTGGAGGCCCAGACACGGCGACACGGGTTCCCGTTCGATATTTCTCCACAGGTATTCCGAGAGCCCCTGGCCAGAGATGCCCCCGAACTCAGGAACGGTGATCTCGCTCGAAACTTCCTCACATTTCTTTCATTGGCCGGGACGACAAGGAAGATATTCCCCCCGAAAGGGGGTGCAATCGAAGACGAAGTGGGCGTGTATCGAGGGTTGGGGTATACAGAATGCACGACACGCGTGCAAGTAAGAGCGAACAGTCCTGAAATTATCAGTGTTGTTATTGCCGTCGTCGTTGTCGTTGTTGTTTTGGCTGGTGTTGCAGTTGCTGTTGTTGTTGCTGCTGCTGTTGTTGCTGTTGTTGTTTGTTGTCTGGTGTTTGTTGTTGTGTTGGTTGTTTGTGCTGTTGCTGCTGCTGTTAATGTTGCTGTTGCTGTTGTTGATGTTGTTGTTGGTGTTGTTGTTGCTGTTGTTGTTGTTGTTGCTGTTGTTGTTGTTGCTGTTGTTGCTGTTGTTATTGTTGCTGTTGCTGTGGCTGTTGTTGTTGCTGTTGTTGCTGCTGATGAGCTCCAGCACCTCCTGACTGGGGGCGCCGCCCGCGTCGGCAGGTCTTCGCTCCTTGAGGTGTCCGGGGAGCCCGTGCCCTGCGAGCCGTGCCAGGCCCGGCGGCCCGAGTGGGCTCAAGGGGGAGGGGAGGAGGAGGAGGAGGAGGAGGAGGCGGGAGAGGAGGAGGAGGAGGAGGTGCAGGAGAGAGGAGAAGGTGCAGGAGGTGCAGGAGGAGCAGCAGGAGGAGGACGAGGAGGACAGGGGAGGAGGATGAGGAGGCGGAGGAGGAGGAGGAGGAGGATGGGGAGAAGAGGAGGAGGAGAGGAGGAGGAGGAGGAGGGAGGAGGAGGAGGACGGGGGAGGAGGAGGACGGGGGAGTAGGAGGAAGGAGGAAGAGGAGGACGGGGGACGAGGAGGAGAGATGGGGAGGAGGACGGGGAGAGGAGGAGGAGCAGGAGGAGGAGGTTCAGGAGGAGGAGGAGGAGGAGGAGGGAGGAGGAGGAGGAGGAGGAGGAGGGGCAGGATGAGGAGGATGGGGAGGAGGACGGGGGAGGAGGAGGATGAGGAGGAGGAGGAGGAGGAGGAGGAGAGGAGGAGGAGAGGAGGAGGAAGAGGAGGAGGAGGAGGAGGAGGAAGAGGAGGAGGAGGAGGAGGAGCAGGAGGGAGGAGGAGCAGAGGAGGAGGAGGAGGACAGGGAGGGGGAAGAGGCGGAGGAGGAGGAGGAGGAGGAGGAGGAGGAGGATGGTGGAGGAGGAGGAGGAGGAGGAGGAGGAGGAGGATGGGCGCCCCCACTCCCGCGCCCGAGAGGCAGTGGAAGCCCATGCCAAGAGTCACCCTACTTGCCTCCGGGGTGCCCGGGATTTCTTGGGCTGCGATGGTGTTGCCATCGGCTGCGCGGCGCTCCCGCACCGAAACTCAGTGGACGTCCTGTGGTCTCGAGGTTGGCTTTCTTGTGGAAGGGTTTCCTTTGGGGCAAGGCCCTGCTGTAAGCGAAAGCACGGCGGACGTTGCACAGCTGGGTCTAACGGCAAGCCTGGGCATGCAAGCCTTTGGTTTCAATTGCTTGTTGTGGACATCGTGGCGTTCCCGCACCACAAATGAATGGGCGTCCTGGGGTTTCAGGGTTAGGTTTCTTGTGGACGGTTTCTTGTGGTCGAGCTCCTACTGCACAGGTCCATCTCCCACCCCAGTGTCCCCACCACCTCCACCAGAGGACCCCGAGGGAAGCGAACCAGAAGGAAGCACTACGGAGGCAAGCCGTCTCGAGATTGGCAGTGACTTCGGCCCTCTGGTGATCAGGGTGGGGACCTTTCTGCCCAATCTCGACCACACTTCGCTTTGAGCAGGCGAACTGCCAGGCCACTTCTTTGCAATCAGGCTCATTTGCCCACCCGTGGTGAAGGCGGCACAGACCTGGCAGGCACAGGCGAACAGGCAACGATGCTCAAGCTCCCGTAGTTTAGCGGGGTCAATGCAAAGCATACAGTTACTGCTGGATCGTTCCCAATATGCGTAAGGATCGTAAGGCTCCGACGCCCACTCAAGGGTTTTATGGTTGATGCACACATCTGGCGAACTTTGGCCACCTCGCCATCCGTCATCCTGTGGACCTCGGAGCCATACTGCAGGCCCACCGACGGGCCCGCGATAAACACCTTAGCCGCCGCAGGTCAGGCGAACCGCATATGTGAAAGGTGGAGGAGGGGGAGCAGGGAGGATTAATCAGGATGATCGAGGTTTGTGGCCCATCATTCGATCTTTCAGGGCCCCTAGATCTTTCCACGGGCCTTGGAGACCTCCGATGGCCAGGAGGGTGGGGAACGGGAAAGGGGGAGGAGGATCATGACGAGCATGGCGAGGGGCAGTCCGTAGGACGTGGGGGGGAGGAACGCCATTGGAGGACGGCGATGAAGATCACGACAATGATGTCGAGTGGCGATGAAGAGGATGCGGAGGAGGAGGACGAGGCGGAGGAGGAAAAGGAGGAGGATGAGGAGAAGGAGGAGGAGGAGGAGGAGGAGGAGGAGCGTACCTTTTAAGCGCGGTGTTTTTTTTTGTTTGCATGATCGAGCTTCGGTATCATGTGCTAGGCTAGTCTGCCCCTGGAGCTCACCCTGCACCACGGCTCGCCGCGGCACGTGTCATGTCGAAGGGCGAACATACGATAACGATGGATGATGACGAGCGACGATTTGGACGAGGAGGAGAAGGATGGATGATGGCTGGATGAGGACGGTAGGAGAAGGTGAGGCGGTCAGGGTGCTGATGAGCAGACGGGGGAGGGGGAGGGAAAGGAGGTCTCGGGGGCCTCAAGGGTGCGCGGCTTTCTATACACAGAGGGGATCAGGGGTGCTTTCTTGGTTTTGGTGGCATGTTCTCGGGGATTCTGCGAAGCGAAAAGGAGGAGGACAGCAGGAGGAGGAGGAGGAGGAGGAGGAGGAGGGGAGGAGGAGGAGGAGGAGGAGGAGAGGAGGAGGAGGAGGACGAAGATGGGGGAGTGGTAGTGGATTGGGAGCGAGGGGAGGAGAAGGGGAGGTGTGTGGGAGGGGGGACGACAAGAGAGGGAGGCGGGGGGGGGGAAGGGGGAGGCAGGACAGAGTTCTGTGCGACCCGAGCGATCCGACCTCCTCCTCCTCCTTCCTCCTCCTCCTCCTCCCTCCTCCACCTCCTCCTCTTCCTCGATGCCGATGTTCCGGCGGTGCGAGGCGCCCCGATTACGAGCTGATCTGATGTTTCGATTCGATGCTGACCGATCTTGCAAGGGGCAGGACAAGCAAGGTGAGCAAGAATCTGGTGCAGGAGCAGGAGAGAGTGCACGACACAGGGGAGCAGGAGAAGGGATTGGTCCGCTTCTGCTTCGCCCTTACCGCCTGGGAGGAGTGCAGCATGAGTGTGTGCGTGTGCGCGCTAGGTGCTCGATTCGTTTGGCGGACCTGGGCTGGCACAAGAACGGAAAGAGCGGTTCAGAAAATTTGCCCGAGCTTGTTCATGGCGCCTCTCGCTCTTGAGCCTTGGCGTTGGGAATTCGTTACGCCACTGCTCGCTTTTGGAAGCCTTGGTATTACGAGTTGTTTCATGTCACTGTGAGCTCTTGGGATCCTTGGTCTTAAGAGCGCTTTCTTCAATGTTCGCCTTTGGCGGCCTTGACGCTCAGAGTTTTTTACGTAGCTGATTGCTCTTGGTAGCCTTGGCGTTCGAAGCTTTCTACATCACCGCTCGCTCTTGGGAGCCTCAGTGTTTCTTTTCACGTCACTGTGGGCTCTTGTGGGTATTGGTGTGACGAGCTTTTCACGTAATCGCTCGCTCTTGGGAGCCTTGGCGTTACGAGCTTTTTACGTCACTGTTTGTTTGCCCTCGGTAGCCTTGACGTTCAGAGCTTGTTGTGTCACCGCTCGCTCTTGGGAGCCTTGGTGTTGCGAGCTGTATCACGTCACCGTTCGCTCCTGGGAGCCTTGGCGTGAAGAGCTTTGTTACGTCACCTTTCGCTATTTGGGGTCATTTTGGACCCTCCGGGCCTTCTAGGGGATCCTCTCGGAGCCATTTTGGCTTGTTTCGGTGCCCTTTTGGGCAGTCTTGGGGCGTCTTTGAGGGCCTTGGCCGTCTTTTGGGTCACTCTTAGGGGCCTCTAGGCGCTCTCTTGGGGGCCTCTTCGGGCCCTCTTGGGCCGTCTTGGAGCCCTCTTGGGCCGTCTTGCGGCGCTCTGGGGCCGTCTTGGTACCCTCTCGAGGCTTTCTTGGGCCGTATTGGGGCGATCTTTGGGGTACGGGCCGCCTTGGGCAGTGGGAAGTCCGAAAAGACGAGACCTATACCACCCTTCAAAACCCAAGGAAACAGCTTTGTTGTTGGCCTCATTAAGCCCTCTTGGGGGTCTTCTTGAGGGCCTCGTGGGCCGTCTTGGGGCCCTCTTGGACTGTCCTGAAGCAATTTGAGTCCATCTTTGAACGCTCGTGGGCGGTCTTGGGCTCTCACAGCGCTCTTGGGCCGCCGTCTTGTAGCTGTATTGGACCTTTTTTGTGCCGTCTTGGGGGTTATATTCGGCCGCTTCGGGCGCCTTCGGGGCCGTCTTGGCACCGTCTTGGGGGGGGGGAGGGGCGCGTATTACCCGGATTCGCCCGCGCTGCGCCTCTCCCCATGGAACCTTTTTCTGGAGGGCTTCGCCCAAGCAGAACGTTATCACGCGTACCTCGCTTGTTCCGTCCCTTTCTCCCTCAAGGATTTGTATGATTCTAGTTCGATTGTGGTTCGATTTACGTTCGACTCAAAGTAGACGGATGTTCGACGCAGCATTGACGCATGAGTGGAGTGGGTGGTTTCAGTAAGGTCACCACACCCAGCATCTAATGTGTGGGCACTTCATCTCTGGTGCTGCACGAAGCTTCTACTTCGTAAGGTGTATTTGGTAATGATGAGGTATCACCTACTTTACCTTCTTAGTCAACCCTCCCCCCTCCTTGTCCTCCACCAGCCCCCCCTTCTCAGGAAGTGCAGTTGGATCATAATTTACAGGGAATGGTTACCTGCTCTTGCCCGCGTTTGCAGCGCTGACTCCCCAGCATTCACCTGCGTCCGTCCTGGCATAGTTCGCACAAGTGTGCTTGTCGTCATGCATTTTTGTGCCCATCTGCCCAATCGTCATTGCACAGTTTGCCCCTTCGTTGTGGTCATGGCCCGTGGATGTCGAACAAGCCCTCTCTCTTCTCCTCCGTGTTTGACTCTCGCACCGCGCCAGCCCAACGAGTACCGCCCGTACCGCTCGGACACCAGCGATGCTTGCTGCACTTGAGAATCTCGGGCCAGTGAGGGCGGCACTGCTCCGTGTTCAGTTGCCGCTGTGAGCAGACCACGGTCACGTCGGTGGATGCGCCGTTGGTTGCCCACTGCGGCAGCTGAACACGGAGCAGTGCCGCAGTTTGCCCACAGCCGCAACGACGACGGCTGCCGCAGTGATCAGACAATGGAAACTTGAGCGTTCAGGTGCCGCAGTGAGGGGACAGCGGCAGGCATGGAATGTTGCTCAAGCTGATTTGAAGCGAAGGGCCGTCGATATCGGACAGCATCGCGACCTACCCCCAGCTCTCTGACGATTTGCGTCACGCCTCGCATATCCCTACCAGCCCATCCATGACTTCTGCATACTTCGAGTTTCGGTCTGTGGCACCCCGCAGCTGTGGATGAGAGTGGGGGGAGGGGCGCGGGGTGGGTCGCGGGGCGGGTCGCGGGCGGGCCGCGGGCGGGGACGACGACGACCTCACCGCAGGCAGAGTCCGCTGGACGGCGCGTCACTGCTGCCACGCGCCCAGGGGTAATGGATGACCGTTCGGCCCCCATCGCTGCGAGCGAGCGCCGTGGGTGATGGGCATGTTTTCCACCACCACCAGAAGTTGGAGGGAGGAAGGAGGTGGAGGACGAGGAGAAGAATGACGAAGAGGACGAGGACGAGGACGAGGAGGAGGAGGAGGAGGAGGGGGAGGAGGACCCCCTCCCCCTCCAACTTATGGTGGTGGCGGTGGAAAACAGCTCCATCAGTGGGGGCGCACGGCCTCCCGACAGGCCCGAGTCGACCCCCCCATCGGATAGCCGCCGCGTGCCGAGGGCGCCGCTCTGCCTCCAGGCGCAGCGTGCCGACGCGGCGAGGTCGACCTCCTTCGGGGGGGGGGGGGGGGCAAGCCAGTGATGGGCCTGTTTTCCACCACCACTTGGAGGGGGATTGGGTCCTCCTCCTCCTCCTCCTCCTCGTCCTCCTCCTCCTCCTGCTCTGCTTCGTCCTCCTCCTACTCGTCCTCCTCCTCCTCCCCCCCCTCCGACTTGTGGTGGTGGTGGTGGAAAACACGCCCATCAAGCCAGGGCGCATTTCGCTTCCTCCGATTCGATTCGACTTCGGTGGATTCCGATTCCGACTCGAGTCGATGTCTGGTTCCGAGTTGGGGCTCCGATGTCTCAATGGAGGCCTACCAGCCTGCCGACTGCTACCCATTCGACTTCTCCCGACCCGGCTGCCGATTTCCGCCGATCCGATTCATGTCGATCGGCGGTCCGACGTATCGATTCGATTCTGGGTTCTCTTGGCACGCTCGTTGAGGAACGCAGGGCATCAGCAGCGAACCAAAGACGTACGGGTAGGAATCCGTGTGAAGACGCCTGGGTGTACTTTCACGACGTACGGGTAGGAATCCGTGTGAAGACGCCCGGGTGTACTTTCACGGTCCTTCGCACGCTTTCTCTTGCAGTTTTTCTCCTGCAGGCCGGAGGGCCTCCGCGGGGCCGTTGCGGCGCCTTTCCGCGGGCGTTCTGTCCGACCGCGGTGGGGCCGTGCAGACACATAGGAGAGGGGGTAATCCCTTCAAAGGATAGACATGACAACGAAAGGATGGTTTAGCTAAGTCACGCGCTCCCAACGGGCTTCTGGGCTTTCTTCGGCCGGTGCTTGTTGCATGCTCACTCTTGTAGTACGCGTGTCGGCGTGGACAATACAGAGTGCACAGTAAGCAAGGCATCATCTATCAGCTGTAACGGGTGGTAGATTCGCAGGGCGGTTCCTTTGTCTACTGCTGGTGAGCAAGCGCTTGGTAGCTTCACTTGTCGCCACCAGCACAGGCCACCGATTCAGCACATTTTCCTCTAAGTCACGTGGGCCGCAGTTTTGTGACGTCTTCGACTGTGCTCCGCTTGTTGAGTTTCGTGGGCAGCCCTCTTGACAGAGCGCATCTGGATTTTGTCGACACACATGAGGGAATCAGGGATGGTGTCCTGAGGGAGTCAGGGGACCCCTGACTCCCTCAGGACAATGTTCCGGACAATGTTCCGGACAATGTTCCGGGCAGATTCGTTCCGGACGCGGTTCGTGGCCAACACGTGCGGGTTCTGAGGTTTTTGCGTTGTTTTCGGCCTCCCAAGCCCCGTCCGTGGCCCCGCGTCAAAAACTACCCATGAGCAAAATTGATCGGGGGAAAGTCCCTGGTTCCAGGACCTTTTTTCTTTCATTACCCTTACCCCTCGTGGCGAATTCCCTGCGCTGCATGCCGAGTTGTATTACGGCATTCGTCTCCAGTGGAGCTCAGATGGGCGACGATGTGGTGAAGTCGAGTCTTGCCGGCATGCCACTCGATTGAACCGGCTTTCCGACGACTGTGCCAGCGTTGTTTTATAGCGTTTTCTACGGGACGTTCTGACGCCCATTTCAATTACGACTCCAGCAGGAGTGCAAGCCAGTCGAGTGGATATCCTGCAGCCCTGGGCACTACATGAGTTTGGAGCTCTCCGTCAGCCACTGGCAGAGTTGGTTCAGGCCCGCCCGCCCCCTCCGCCTCGGAGTCCGAACTTGCCACCGACGCGATAGCGGCTCTTGCGTTGTGAGAGGAGGAGGAGGAGGATGCTGGTGCTGTGGATGATGATGATGCTGATGATGATGATGATTATGATGATGATGGTGATGATGATGGTGCTGATGCTGATGCTGATGATGATGATGATGGTGATAGTGATGGTGATGGTGATGATGATGACGAGGAAGAGGAGGAGGAGGATTGTGCGGATGGTGATGCTGTTGATGATGTTGATGTTGGGTATGATCATGGTGCTGATGGTGATGCCGATGACGAGGCTGTTGATAACGAAGTGGTGATGCTGTCTTGGAAGAAGCTGATTACGATGATGGAGGTTCACTTTACGGCGACGGTGATTAGTTTCATGATAGTCATGATGAGGTTGTTGATGTTGTTGATCATCATGATGCCGATCATGATGATGCTGATAACGGTGATGTTGATGATGATTGTGGTGGTGATGGTGATGACGATGTTGTTGCTTGATGTTGATGCTGCTCATGATGATGATTATGATGAGGATGATGCTGTTGATTGTGATGATGCTGATGATGATGATGATGCTGATGATGATGTTGTTGTGGATGGTGATGCTGATGGGCGTGGTGGTGCTGATGGTATTGATGCGGATGATTCTGCTGCATCTGGCGCTGATGGTGTTGTGATGCTGATGAGGATTAGCATAGTTGAGATGCCTGTGATGCCGGTGATGGTTCTGATGGTGGTGGTGGCGGTCATAATGGTGGTGGCGGTGATGATGCTGACCGTGTGGTGATGGTGCAGTTGTCGATGATGGTGATTGTGATGCTTCCGGTGGTGTTGGAGCTGATGATGCCATTGATGTTGTTGCTGCTGCTGATGATGATGCTGCTGATCATGATGATGCTCATGCTGCTTATTATGATGATGGTGATGCTGGTGCTGGTGATGAGGATGATGCTGTTGATGATGATGCTGATGATGACGATGAGCAGGAGGATGATGATGAGGATGAGGGTGATGATGATGGTGATGCTGTTGATGTTCATAGTAATGGTCATGGTCATGATCATGGCCATGGTAAGGGTGATTGATGGTGGTGATGGTGTATGTGATGCTGACGAGGATGAGGAGGAGAGCATTGTATGTGACTGTATGGGGGAGGGGCAGGATGAGAGGGGCGGGGAGGAGTCGGGGTGGGAGGAGCAGACGAATCGAATTCTGTCCTAGAGGATGGCCAGGGAGGAGGACGAGAAGGAGGAGGAGGAGGAGGATGAGGAGGAGGATGAGGAGGGCGCGGGGAAGGAGCGGGAGGAGGACCAGGACGGAGAGGGGAAGCTAAGTGGCGGGGGGGGGAGCAGGCGGAGGAGGAGGAGGAGGAGAGAGGAGCTGCTGTTGTTGATGATGATGATGATGATGA